TTCACAGATTCGAGTTCTTCCGCGCGTTCGCAATTACAACTGAACTTCTCGGAAGGCAAATCGATCGATTCAACTTTTTGTAACTTTCTTGATCTCAAAAGCGCGTGATTAATTTTTCATTAATTTTTCTCCTACTTTTTATTTTGCGGAGTCGATCAAACTTCCGAGAGGTCTGATTAGCGCTTGATGTAAAAAAAAGAAAAAAAAAAAAACAGAAAATCTAAGATTCTCTCGTGTCTTTCCTTTAGATTCATTTCACGTGTCCTCCTTGATTATAATCCGCGTCTCTAACATCCCTTACAGAAATTTCATAATGGAAAGTAATGATTAATTACTTATTTTGAATATTAAAATATTATTGTTTAAAACAAGTTAATTTTCAGTATTAAACTGAAATTTCTCTAAGGGATAAATGTAAATGCATCGCGTTTTCGCACTGGGGACGCAGAAATGCGATCCCTAAATTATTCCCTCGTAACTGCACGACTTCAACAGTTGCGGAGTTCCGCATTGCATTCCTTCGCGTCGTCTTACGCAAAGAACGGAGATCGTCGAGTGGTGGACAAAGTATATATCCTGCGTTAAAGTGCAATTCTCTAATTCCATAAGAAGTACAACAATTATTATCCGAATAGCCTAAATGGTACACGACTTATATAGTACTGCTCGATTCGCTATTACATCGCTTTGCGTACGCTTGGATTCGCCTTCAAACGAGAGTCACGCAAATATTTGAAATATATATATATATGCGAATGTTACAAATACCTTTCGAAATTGAAAATCTGTACATTTAAATACACTCTCGTTGAATATTACACGCACGTACGTTAAGTTACTCCCTATGTCGCGAACTACCCACGGTATTCATTTATAGTCAGAACTTTGATAAAGTTTGTTTTTATGAGGAACAGATGCTCTCAAGAGAATCATCCCATACATATGAAATGTATCATGTTTTACAATGTGCAGACAGGCGTTCATTTATGGTAGATTTTATGTCTCGATAAAATGTCACAGAATACACAAATACATCTACATATTATATATATATGTTGCGTATAAAAAGGTCAACAAAGAATATATAAATAATAAAAATTGTTTTTACAAGTAAAGTTCCTTAGAAGCTCTTTAACATTAAGTAAGAGGTCTACAAATTATTATCTTTACCTATTAAAATAAGAATAACTTTATTAATATCGCATTTCTTACATAACAAGTAATAAAATTTACAATAAGATATGTACTACATTTGATAACGAAAGCAAATTCGCAACAAGCAAATCTTTGGTTACAAAATCATTAGCGAGAAGTAAAATTTGCGACGAGAGAGAGAGAGAGGGTATCTCTCGATTACCCGAGGGATCATAGTGTTTCCAGTCGAAAGATTTGACAGATTAAATGTGCGAGACGTAGAAGGTGAACGAGGGTTAGTGTGTCCCGGGAGATATCCTTCGCGTCTTTCGCGAAGATTCACTTCGAAAAATTACTCAGAGAAGATAATCCGGGGAATAGTCTCTACTACTGATACTAACGTACATTTATATAAGTTCGTTCTAATTTTTTTCACTGTAAAATCAATAATCAAGATAAAAGACACGTGTTAAGAGCAATCGATTCGTTCGAACCAGTTAGAATCGATTCTACATGGAGATTTCATGAATCATCTCCAATAAGATAAGAAAGTTGGCAAGATGGGAAGCAGCAACGGGGAAAATAAAAAATATGAAAGACAGAAAGTGATAGTAACAAGAATATTATAATTTTAGTAAGTTAACACAGTAATACCGCGGAGCCTCTCTATTCACAGAGGATACTTCTTTATAAAATTATCCTTTTGGAATAGAGCTCGTGACCCGTTTTTCCACACAACTATACTTATAATATTGATTACCACCCTCTAAAAGTAGTATTATAACACGTGGTATAAAAATATCAAGAGCATTAACATTCTAATAATAAGAACATTAAATGTCTCTACGAATCTAAAAGAGATAATGGTCTAGTAGTAAAATTAAAATCGTAAACGAGTTTTTCTCAACGAAATCATTTTCGAATATGGAACAATATCGAAATAATTGCAACAATGGAATAATTAATTTTTGTTATAATGTAACTTTGGTATAAACATGTTAAACACATTATAATCACATTATGCAGCTATACTCTGTGATTGATACGTAACAAATTGAGTTCCCACAAAGCGTAGACACAAGACATACGATAAATGAACGGATTCCGATATCGCGCGATGCATACATTTTGCGCGAGATAAGATATTACTAAAAATGAAGTATGTTAATTAAGTAAACAGGTCGTACCAATACAACGATTCGTATTATATTGTCGACACGCAACATTTGTTTTACGCAGAATATATACACCTACCGTAATTTATTTATATACCGCCAATGTGTGATGCAGACCGGAGTGTTACTTCATATATATCTACTCAACCTTTTCTCGCGAAAAGGTCAGAGTTATTTTCTGTATCCGTGAATTTAGTGAAACGCGTAGAATTCATCGACAAAAGGGAGCTTTTCGTTTGTATACTAAGCCCTATATCAACAGAATCGCGAATCAGTTTCGCATATCACTTTCCAATTGAATTCCGCGTGAACGCGAGAACTCTCGGTTATGTTAAGTAACACTATAACAGAATCGAACCTAATCGTTATATCTTTTACGCATATATAAATATAAATAATATAATATACAATATATATAATATATATCAACTGTGTTTATAAATAATAATATAATTTCTATATTCACGATATACGCCGTTCTTAACGCCGCTTCACGTATCACCGTGATAAGTAGCCTACTATGTAGAGTTATCATTTAAACAATACATGTGTTAACACTCTCGCGGGAGAATAACAAGTCGAAGAGTGACACCTCCCAACGCTTGTCGCATCGTTACGATCGATTAACATCTGCTAAATGGAAATTGTTATCGAATCGTATCCGTCTCATCCTTTTCGGTGTGATAAAAACGTTCCACTTGGTTTCTTTTTTAATTCCTATCAAGATCATAAGTTCGCCGTAATTGACTGTCAGACACGTTTAACATCTCTCTCGTAACCTGTCCCTTATAATACCTCAATCGCTTAAAATGTTGCGACATGTACCTTGCTACACCGCGAGTCATTGCAACGATTTGGCACGAAGAAAATAAATAAGTATCTATTTCGTTTTCCGCTGAGTAAACTGTAATAGGCCGTGCGATTATTCTTCGATCTCATCTTAAAGGGACTACTCGTATGTATTTGGGGGGTACGGGCTTCGAAAGTGAAGCGATCAACGGCGAAAGTTGCTACGCTAAAAAAAAAGGGGTAGATTCGTATGTCCCTATATTGTCTATTCATACTGCATACCATCAAGTCTTCGATAGAATAAGATGATCTATGAACGCGAACTATGAGATAATATTCATGAAATGATGGTTGTACTTTCAACGAGTTTCCGATGAAATTGGTACGTCTTGATGTGTGTGTGTGTGTGTGTGTGTGTGTGTGTGTAAATGCGTGTGTAAATGTGTGACTGAAGGATGAGCGCGTCGTAACAAATACCTTTGTCTTCTAGCATCGTAGAGCATTTTGTACTTACTCCCTGTGCGTACATAATACTTGTTCTTAAGAAATTTCGTTATTGTTAAACATCGTCGTTTCTCTACATACCGGTAAACAGATACGCTACCTTAATTTTGGTTTCGATTAACGCGCGTCTGACGGGCCCACAGGGTATTCCCCGTTACACGATCCGGGGGATTCCCGGCGCGGCGGCCTGTCAATCAAAACGACGCGCTAAGAAATTAACTACTAATTGTAAGGGTGGATCGCAGCCTTCCTTTTCTTCTTTTTTTTTTTTTTATTTTTGGCGTTTGCGTCTATCTCTTATCGTAGACTAATTTTATACTGACTAGAGGCATCGATACGTCTTAATTTGGCATGAAGCGTATAAGTGACATTCACGAACAGCGTTCTCCGTTTAAGGAGAAGAAAAATTCGAAGCAATTTTACTACAAAATACACAGTAAAATGGGAGACGGTTTCTCCCTTCTGGAAAAATTTCGTGAAATATAAATACACGTGGCAGCCATGTCTCTACGGGAGAGAATTTTTACGACATATTTCCTCGTGACAAAATCTTTTCCCACTTTGTCGTCCCGTACATTGCAATATAACGTTAAGGCGGCTAGAACAACCGTGATTTACAAAGTCTCTCGTCGCTAAAAACTGAAAATTAATTAACAACTTCGCCAGATCATAAATATGATGATAGTATCTAACACAAAGTATCTATCGAGATCTTTGTCACGATATCTACAAAGTTGTAGATAGGAACAAATCTAGAACCACAGATCTACGCGATGATATCTACAATATCATAGAAAGTTTGTACAGTATTACAATATTGTGATAACGAGCTGTGTAAAGTGATATAATTCCAACTAATGTTATTATACCGCGATAAAATGTATGGGTATCGCATGAAGGATAGTCGCATACGTTAGTAAAGAAAATAATGTCGAATATTTAATATAAATATAAATCTAGCACAACATGTACACATATATACGTTTTTACACTAT